GAGATCATCAAGGACCACAGTTCAACCCTGAGCTACAAATATTCTCTTCTATCGATAATGGCTTAGGACCGGGGTACTTACGAGACCGCCTTCTGCCACCAATAGCCTCTCACCGCCCAGTACGCTCCCATAGAGAGGGGCTTCTCAGGGTGCCGTCAGCCAAACAGTGTGGACTGGCGGCCCCCAGGGGGAGAGCCTTTTCTGTGGGGGCACCCACCATCTGGAACGAGCTCCCCCCAGAGATACAGAAGATTCCGGATCTGCGCACTTTCCGCCGTGCCCTCAAAACATTCCTGTTTCAGCAGACCGGCCTGGCCTAACTTTCCCTTTATATTGCTTTTGATTTTATTTTAAACTGGAATGTCTTGAATTATCTAGGACCAGAGTGTTTAGTATATTTTAATTGGTTTTTTTTAATTAACGTTTGTATTACATGTATTTTTTATCGTTCGCTGTTCACCGCCCTGAGTCCCTCAGGAATAGGGCGGTATATAAATTTAATAAATAAATAAATAAATAAATAAATAAATAAATAAATAAATAAATAAATAAATAAATAAGTCACACAATTGGCATAAGGATATTTTCCTACAGGTGTCCATGGAGGAAACCCGATATGATCTTCCTACGCTTGAGAGGCTGTCACAGAGAAGAGGGGGTCAGCCTATTTTCCAAAGCACTTGAGTACAGTATTCCAGTCTTTTAAGGGATGCCACAAAGAAGAAGAGGGGGGTCAAGCTATTTTCCAAAGGTAAGACAAGAAACAATGGATGGAAACTAATCCAGGAGAGAAGCAACCTAGAACTAAGGAGAAAGTTCCTGACAGTGAGGAGAATTAAGCAGTGGAACAGCTTGTCTTCAGAAGTTGCAGGTGCTTCATCATTGGCGGTTTCTAAGAAGAGACTGGACAGCCACTTGTCTGAAATGGTATAGGGCCGTGATGGCGAACAGGTGGCACACAGGTGGCACACGTAGCCATATCCATGGGCACGCAAGCTCAGCTCCGGCGCGCATGAGCGTGCCGGCCAGCTGATTTTCGGGCCTTCTGGGCCCACCAGAAGTAGGGAAACAGGCTGTTTCCAGCCTCTGGAGGGCCTTGGGGGGGGGAAATGCCCGTTTTTTGCTCTCTCCAGGCTCCAGAGCCTTTCTAGGAACCTGGGGAGGGTGAAAACGACTTACCCCCCCCCCAAGGACCTCTAGAGGCCAAAAACATCCCTTTTGCCAACTTCCGGTCCCACCAGAAGTTGGCAAATTGGCCATTTTCGGCCTCCGGAGGGCCTCCGGAGAGTGGGGGAAGGCTGTTTTTGCCCTCCCCAGACTCCTAGAAAGGCTCTAGTGCCTGGGGAGAGAGAAAAATGGGCCCATCGGTCCATCACGTGCCAGGAGCGGGGGGAGCATCCTGCACGCAAGCCCAGGGGCGGGACACATAGAATTACGGGTGTGGGCGCACGCACGTGACCCCCCCTCACACGCTCCCCACACTCCTGGCATGCAATGGCAAAAAGGTTAGCCATCACTGGTATAGGGTGTCCTGATTGAGCAAGGGGCTGGACCAGAAGACCTCCAAGGTCCCACATTGGGGTGGGACGGAAGCACTAGTGACCTTATGGAGGGCATGGTTTACCTCAGCATGACCTCCGTGCACCAGAGAACTTCAGAGCCAAAACAAGAATCGAAGGAGCAGGAAAATAGGAGCATAAGAGATTTAGATTTAGATTTAGACACCCCTGGTCTACCTCAGTGTTTCTCAAAATGTGTAGCGCTTCAACTCCCAAAATTTCCAGTCAGTGTGAATGAAATAAATATTAATATTTATATGTGGCTTAGGACCTGGTTACCTACGGGACCGCCTACTACCACCAATAGCCTCCCACCGGCCGGTACGCTCTCATAGAGAGGGGCTCCTCCGGGTGCCGTCGGCCAAACAATGTCGACTGGCGGTCCCTAGGGGGAGAGCCTTCTCTGTGGGGGCACCTACTATCTGGAACGAGCTCCCCCCGGAGATACGGAGGATCCCGGATCTGCGCACCTTCCGCCGTGCTCTCAAGACCTTTTTATTCCACCAGGCGGGCCTGGCCTAATCTTTTCCCTCTTTTCTTTTTAATATGCAAATTTTAATCTGTTTTTTAAATGATTGGGGGTGTTTTAATTTGTCTGGGCCAAATTGTTTAATTCGATTTTATCCTGTTTTTTAAATTTTGTATTTATGTATTTTACTGTTTGGCTGTTCACCGCCCTGAGTCCTTCAGGAGTAGGGCGGTATACAAATCAAATAAAGATAAAGAAGATAATAAATGGCCAGCTCAGTCCAGAAGCCACATTTGTCTTGTTCTAATCTACATGCTGCCCAGGGAATTCTGGGAGTTGAAGTCCATACCTCTTAGAGAAGCACTGGTGTACAGTCTGTAAAGTAGAAATGTGCAGATTCTAGGAGCCAACCCCATTATTTGGGGGTGGGTGGGAGAGTGGGAAGAATAAGGTGGCTGGTAAGACATTTAAGGAGAATCTCTTCCCTAAATGCAAGTTACGGAGGTGGGGACTGGGAACATGGGACGACTCCTATGCCGTGATATTGTCATGATATCGTCCTGCAGATGACATACAGTAGTGGCCAAAATTGTGGAAACCTTTTGGGAAAAGTGTATTTTCTAAAAATAGCCAATAACACCACTTTTTTGGGGAGTAGTACCATAAAATGATATATCAATGGAAAGATAATTTAATCAAGAATGTAGTGCAATAACTTTGATGAAGGATTTGCTATTAGAATAGCAGTTACAGTATAAAGAAGAAAAGCGAAACACGTAGAAAAAACGAGATGATCACCATGTCAATTAACACTTAGTTGGGGTAACCTTTAGCATGAATGACGGCCTTACAACGTCTTCCCATGGAGTGAACCAAGTCTTTTAGTTCTGCAGCTGTTAAAATGTGAAAGCAAGATTGAATGATGGCTTCTATTAACTGGGTTTTATTGTATATCCCACGTACGTTTTATTGACTAACATGTTTCTTTAGTTGGCTCCCTAGATTTTCAATTGGGTTAAGGTCTGGACTATTCCCAGGCCATTCCAGCAGGAATGGAATATGATTATCTTGAAACTCCCCCAAAAAAGTGGTGTTATTAGCCATCAAACCTCAAAAATACACTCTTCCCAAAAGGTTTCCACAATTTTGGCCACTACTGTACATGATATCATTGGGGCTTTTACTGGTTTGGAGACTGGGACAATCAACTCCACATGCACAAAACAAGTTTTATACAGGTAGTCCTCAATTTACGACCACAATTGTGCCCAAAAGGTTTATGTTGTTAAATGAGAAATTTGTTAAGGGAGTTTTGCCCCATTTTATGGCTTTTCTTGCCATGTTTGTTAACAATTGCCGTTGTTAAATTAGTCAAAGGGTTGTTAAGTGGTTTCCCCATTGACTTTGCTTGTCAGAAGGCAGAAAAAGTCAATCCCATAATCCTGGGACAATTGCCACCATCATAAATGTGAGTCAGTTATCAAGCATCCAAATGTAAATCCTGTGACCATGGGGATGGCTACAATGGTCGTAAGTGTGAAAAACGGTCACAAGTCCCTTTTTTCAGTGACGTCGTAAGAATAGAATAGAATAACAGAGTTGGAAGGGACCTTGGAGGTCTTCTAGTCCAACCCCCTGCTTAGGCAGGAAACCCTACACCACTTCAGACAAATGGTTATCCAACATCTTCTTAAAAACATCCAGTATTGGAGCATTCACAACTTCTGGAGGAAAGTTGTTCCACTGATTAATTGTTCTCACGGTCAGGAAATTTCTCCTTAGTTCTAAGTTGCTTCTCTCCTTGATGAGTTTCCACCCATTGCTTCTTGTCCTGCCCTCAGGTGCTTTGGAGAATAGCTTGACTCCTTTTCTTTGGGATATTCCTTGAGATATTGGAAGACTGCTATTATGTCTCCCCTGGTCCTTCTCTTCATTAAACTGGACATACCCAGTTCCTGCAACCGTTTTTCATATGTTTTAGCCTCTGGTTCCCTAATCATCTTTGTTGCTCTTCTCTGCACTCTTTCTAGAGTCTCCACATCTTTTTGTGACGTTGAACCAGTGGTGAAATCCATTTTTTTTACTACCCATTCTGTGGGTGTGGCTTGGTGGGCGTGGTGTGGTGTGGTGTGGCTTGGTGGGTGTGGCAGGGGAAGGATACTGCAAAATCTCCATTCCCACCCTACTCCAGGGGAAGGATACTGCAAAATCCCCATTCCTTCCCCACTCCTGGGGGGGAAGGATATTGCAAAATCTCCATTCCCACCCCACTCTGGCGGCCAGCCAGAGGTGGTATTTGCTGGTTCTCTGAACTGCTCAAAATTTCCGCTACCGGTTCTCCAGAACCTGTCAGAACCTGCTGGATTTCACCCCGGGGGGGGGGGTTGAACGGTCACTAACTGTTTTAAGTCGAGGACTACCTGTCTTTAGCTATTTTTGTTCTGGAAGGAGAATTCGTTATTTTATTTTGTTCGTTTGTTTGATCGCCAAACTTCTGCTATGTGAAAATCCTAGGCCAAGTCGTCAGCAGTCCTGATCTGAACTGTGAGTGCACGAATTCCATTTCGCCTCCTGGGGGTTGTTTTGTTTCCCCACTCGGGATCCTGCGGTGTCGATTTACACCGGCAACAACAACGGCTCCAAATCGGGATGTGGATGTTCCCAACCTACTCCGAGCTCCCTATCTTCGCCCCACCTTGTTCAGTTACTCCTCCGCTTGTGCAACCCTTTGCAAAACGACCACCCAACCCCTGCGCCCCTCCCTCCCTCCCTCCCTCTCTCTCCAGCGAGTGCGTTGCTGTATGTTTTTGGCTCCCTTGGTTTGCTTTATTTGGCAAAAGTTTCCCAGGCTGGGAAGGGGGGGAGGGGGGGGGGGAAGGGTGGAGGTGTGGGGGGGGGGGGGGGGCGTGGGGTGGGAACGAGTCACGTTGCAAATCCACGTGCCACCGGGGGCTTGGCCAGTAGCCCGGAATGGGAAAGTTTTAATCAAGCGCGGGAGCAAAAGCAAGAGATTTGCAAATCTCTTGCAAACTCCAGGCGGGGCGGTTGGTGGCGTGGGGGGATATACTGGGAGCGGGGTGGTGGCCGAGCGAGGAATTGGAGGAGGAGGACGGGACAACGAAAGAGGCAGCGAGCCCCGCTCTTCTTCTTCTTCTTCTCCGCCCGCCGCCTTGAAGGACCGCGGAGGGGAAGGTGCTCGGCGGCGCCCCGCGAAATTTGAAAGTGAAATCCGCCTTGCGGCGGATCCCAGGCGGCTCCGGATCCCGTCGTTCCAGGAGGAGGAAGAGGAGGAGGTAGTGGTGACAGAGGGTTGCTTGGAGGTGAGCAACCGAGCCCCCCTTTTTCTTTTTTGGCACGGGCCCGCTGGGGAAGGAAGGACGATCTGGGTCAGTGGTTCTCAACCTTCCTAATGCTGGGACCCTTTAATACAGTTCCTCATGTTGTGGTGACCCCCAACCATAAAATTATTCCTGAAACCATTGAAAATATGTGTTTTCCCATGGTCTTAGGCGACCCCCTGTGAAAGGGTCATTCGACCCCCCCAAAGGGGTCCCAACTCACAGGTTGAGAACCACTGATCTGGGTGGTCAGGCACCAAGGTGGGTCTGGGGGCCACGGTGGTCTTAGGGCAGTGGTTTCGCAACCTGTGGGTCGGGACCCCTTTGGGGGTCGAACGACCCTTTCACAGGGGTTGCCTAAGACCATCAAAACACATATTTTCAATGGTTTTAGGAATAATTTTATGGTTGGGGGTCCCACAACATGAGGAACTGTATTAAAGGGTCGTGGTATTAGGAAGGTTGAGAACCACTGTTTTAGGGGGACAGTTTGCTGGGGGCGGGGGTGGGGTGGGGAACGGTGGGAGTGAGAGAATAAGCCTGGATCCCAGGGCCAGGGGAACCCACCCACCCCCATCGAGTTCAATCTTCTGCTCTTGGCCAAGATAAAGCCAGCTGCCGACTTCGAACGCTCATGCAATAAATAGATAGGATAGGACAGGATAGAGGTTGGAGGAGATGGATAGGATGGGATCGGATCGGATGAGCTGGAAGGGACCTTGGAGGTCTTCTAGTCCAGCCCCCAACTCAAGCAGGAGAACCTATGCCATTTCAGACAAGTGGTCCTTCAGTCTCTTATTAAAAACTTCCCAGTGTTGGAGCATTCACAACTTCTGGAGGCAAGTTGTTCCACTGGTTAATTGTTCTAACTGTCAGGAAATTTCTCCTTAAGTTCTAGGTTGCTTCTCTCCTTGATTAGTTTCCACCCATTGCTTCTTGTCCTGCTTTCTGGTGCTTTGCAGAATAATTTGACCCCACTTTTCTTTGTGGCAGCTCCTCAAGTACTGGAATACAATCCTTCCTGCCTGCCTGCCTGCCTGCCTGCCTCCTTCCTTCTTCCTTCCTTCCTTCCTTCCTTCCTTCCTTCCTTCCTTCCTTCCTTCCTCCCTCCCTCCCTCCCTCCCTCCCTCCCTCCCTCCCTCCTTCCTTCCTTCTTCCTCCCTTCCTTATTATTATTATTTTATTAGTTCGATTTATATATTTCCCGCCCTTCTCCGGAGACTCAGGGCAGCTTACAATGCTTTAAGCAATAGCCTTCATACTTTTGTATATAGCTGCTTAGTAGGGCTTTTTGGGCCCCCCCTGAGCGGTGTTCTATTTTATACAGTCAGCTTATTGCCCTCACAAACCTGGTCCTCATTTTACCTACCTCGAAAGGATGGAAGGCTGAGTCAACCTTGAGCCGGGTGAGAATTGAACTCGCAGTAATTGCAGGCAGCTGGCAGCTAAGTGCTACTTTAACAGCAGCAGTTTAGTCCACTGCGCCACCAAGGCTTCCCTCCCCCTCTCTCTTTTTTCCTCCCTTCCTCCCTCCCTCCCACCTTTCCTTCCTTGCTTGCTCCATTCCTTGCTTCTTTCCTTCCTCCCTTCCTTACCTCCCTCCCTCCCTCCCTTCTTCCTTCGCAACAGCTCTTAGACTTATATACCGCTTCATAGTCCTTTACAGCCTGTAACACAGGTTTGCTGGCGTGCCGCAGACCCGTGTCAGTCCATGGATTAGGGCTTGGGGGGCCCTGCTCTAATTTATTTCTCCCAAATTCTTCACCAAAACATAGAAAAGGGAAGTCCTTCTCCCCTCAACCGTGCCTAGACCCTAGTCTCACCTTGATCTTAGCAATAGTATGCAACCATTTGCCACTGTCTTCCTCTGAGCGTTGGGTATTTTTTAACAGACAGGCAGGCAGATTAACAGAGATGGAAGGGACCTTGTAGGTCATCTAGTCCAACCCCCTGCCTAAGCAGGAGACCCTGCACCATTTCTGACAAGTGGCTGTCTAGTCTCTTCTTGAAAGCTTCCAGTGATGAAGCTCCCACAACTTCTGAAGGCAATTTCTGTTCCATTGGTGGATTACTCTCACTGTCAGGAAATTTCTCCTTATTTCCAGGTTGAATCTCTCTTGGAGCAGTTTCCATCCATTATTCCTTGTCTGGCCTTCAGGTGCTTTGGAAAATAGCTTGACCCCCTTCCTCTCTGTGGCAGCCCCTCAAATTTTGGAAGACTGCTATCATGTCTCCCCTGGTCCTTCTCTTCACTAGACTAGCCATGCCCAGTTCCTGCAACCGTTCATTGTATGTTTTACCCTCCAGTCCCCTCATCATCTTGGTTGCTCTTCTCTGCACTTTTTCCTAAAGTCTCAACATCTTTTTTATAGTGTGGTGAATACTGGATGCAGTATTCTAGGTGTGGTCTTACTAAGGCTTTATAGAGTGGCATTAGTACCTCACTTGATCTTGATTGTATCCCTCTGTTAATGCAATTTAGGATTGCATTGGCTTTTTTGGCTGCCACCGCACGTTGCTGGCTCATATTTAACTGGTTGTCCAATAAGACTTTAAAAAATGTAAAAAAAATTAAAAATCTAATCTAGCTACCCACTCCAAGATTCCTTGGTCATCTCCCGAAAGGACTAACCATGCCTGATTCTTTTTATCTTCTTCAAGATCAGTTGAGCTTGGCTAGTGTCAGTTGGTGAGACCACATGATCTCTCTCTTTGAGAAGGGCAATTTAGGACAACCAAGTGATCTTGAAGAGATGATTTCTTGACACTTGACATGTGGATCTTGCTTCTCAAGTGGTGCAGTTAATAATAACTGGGAATTGTAGGAATGGAAAGGCAACAGACCTGGAGGGCACCTGTTGGAGAAGGCGGTTCAGAGCCCAAATAAATATTCTGCAGGCAGCTGCACTTCGGGAGAAGGGAGCCAGGAAAGACAAGTGGAGTCCTGCACCCCATGACATCAAGATGGGTATGATGTCATTGTGGCTTCTCATAACCTCCCCGGAATGCAGGGAATTCAAGTGTAGGATCCTTTCTCAGGCTAGATCAAAAGACCAAACCAACTCCAATTTCAGCTCAGTGCCCTTCTTTAAAAAAGAGGTGTCCAAAAGCGGTTAGCTCCTTTTCCACATAAAACAACCCAGAGATTAAAATAGATCTGATTTCATAATTCATTCCCTTTTTTCCTGGATTTTCAGACTTGGGTTATCCTCACCTGGAGATTTCCTGCCAGGTGTAAATGCAGCTTTAGGGATTTTCCCACAGGGATTTGCAATAGGGATTTTTTAGGGAGGCGGTGTGCTTCCAGAAGGAGAAACCCAGATTGACCTATCAGTGCCTTGGGTGACCTGTTCTGGGGCTTTCCAAATGATTCCACCACTTCCTGATTTGCATAGGTTTCCAGACAATGGAGAAGAAGCAGTTGAAGGTGGCTATGGAGATTCTTAGTCATCCAGGTGATGATTGTCCCAAAGATTTTTTTTTTTCCAAGGGGCAGCTGGACTTTCTGGTTTTGCTTCGAATATGTTTCGATTCTCATCCAAGAAGCTTGTTCAGCTCTCAGGGAAGTAAACTCTTAACTGTAACCAGAAAAAAGCCAGCATGTGATGCAAGGAAGCCAGCTTGGTCTCGTGGGGGAGGAACCAGGCTAAAAAGTGAGAGATTGTGAGTTCAAGTCCCATTATAGCATGAAAGCCAGTTGGGTGAGTTTTGTCCAATCACTCTCTCTCAGCCCAACATCACAGGGTAGTTGGTGGTGCAGCGGACTAAAACTGCTGTTAAAGTAGCACTTAGTTGCCAGCTGCCTGCAATTACTATGAGTTCAATTCTCACCAGGCTCAAGGTTGACTCAGTCTTCCATCCTTTCGAGGTAGGTAAAATGAGGACCCGGTTTGTGGGGGCAATAAGCTGACTTTGTATAAAATAGAACACCGCTTGGGGGGGGCCAAAAAGCCCTACTAAGCAGGTATATACAAAAGTATGAAGGCTATTGCTTAATGCATTGTAAGCCGCCCTGAGTCTCCAGAGAAGGGCAGCATATAAATCGAACTAATAAAATAATAAAATAAATAGTTGTTGTTGTGGGGAAAATAGGAGGAGGGATATGTTTGAGTTATTTGTACAAATAATAAAGATTGGATATAAAGGGAGGGAGGGAAGGAAGGAAAGAAGGAAGGAAGGTAGGAAGGAAGGAAGGAACATAGAAACATTTTTGACCTGAAGGGAGTAACTAAGTTGTGCCCAACACTAACTCATTGAATGAAAAAGTCAAGGTTTGTCACTTTTGGGAGTCAGGCAATTTACCTGCTCTTGGGAGCTTCTTCTGTAGGCCAGAAGAAGGTGGCAAGCAGCAGTTACAATTACTGTTGCTACTCAAGTATTATTCCTATGCTTGTTGTCATGGCAACCCCAAAGCAAGAAAAGGAAGGGAGCAGCATCTTGCTAAATCCGGCAGGCCTTCTCTGCTGGGTAGACAACCACCGACAAGCTCCACAGCAGAAGACGGAAAAAGGCAAAACTACATCTTCTTCCACAACGTACTTCCTTTCTATACACAATCCCTGAAAATGCAATCTGTTTGCTTGACCCATTGAAGGCCAAGAACTCAAACCCTGGGCTATCTTAGCCAGTAAACACAGCCAGAGAAGTTAGTTCACGGCTTGGCTTGGAACACATGAGAAAATATGTGGCCCTGGAAATCTCAGTTTCATCAAATAGTCCATGAGAAGTGAATTGAACAGGTAGTAGCCCTGACAGAGATGTCCAAGGTAGATTTTGTCCAGAAAATGTTGGGGTGGAAATTTGAGTCTTTCTCTAGTTCTGGGATAATGTGGTTGGATTTGGCTAGGAGATGGGTATCCTGTTTTGGTGTGGTTTTTTTTTTTTTTTGCAGGATTACATTTGGAAAAACAATATTACAGAGGCTGCAGTATTTCTCAACCTTTGCACCTCTAAGATGCGTGGACTTCGACTCCCAGAATTCC